AAAAATTCAGTGCAGGTCTACCAGAACCCGATTACTTGAGCAATCACACTGCTTTCCAGGGTTTACATTAGCAGAAAGCTGGAATCAGTAGCCAACCCAGGCACTCCCATGTGGGACACATGTGTTCTAACTGGCCACTTAACTGCTAGATCAAAAGCCACCCTTCTGCTTTCTATATTATTGAAAATGCAAATTTCATAATTCTTGATATACAGTGCAGTGTTTTGATATTTGCACACATTGTGGAATGATTGAATCAAGCTAATTAACATATCCATCAGCTCTCATATTTATTGTTTTCTGATGATAACATTCAAATCTTCATAATACATCTTTCTCTATCAACCATAAAAAATGAGATTTTAAATAAATTGAGTTTAAAACCAGACCATCAAATCACATTATCACAAAAGATCAAACAATGACCTTAACAAAATGAAATCTATTGCCATCAAGAGTTATACACTATCAGTAATATCTTGTGTTATTAACATGGTTTGTACTGTTAATAAATAAAATTCAGTATGGTATAAATATGACTTTACATTTATATTCTTTCAAAATATCTTTTGTGTATATAATTATACAATGCGTTAGTACAGAAGCAGATATATAAAGTTTGTTATTATTAAATATATTTATATACCAGAAATATGTGCTTAAAATTTTACCAATAGGGTGCAAAATTTAAGAACATGGATTAGAAATAGTTGTCTAATGGAATTAACAAAATCATTATAAAGCCTTTGTAATCCAACATTAGCTGGCACCATGCAGCACCCACCACCCTTGCCTGCAAAAGCTGGTAATTTATCTGCGCTTCGTGTGTGTGCATATCTCCCTCGGCATTCCCATTTCCTCTGGCGAATCCTGCATGACCATACTTGTGTAGGAGTCTACCAGCACAGAAGCAGTGAGACGTGGCGGTTGAGAGGGCAGTTTCTGAATGTAGGCCACCTCAGTCTATCCTGGCCCCACAATTTATTAGCTGGGAGATCCCAATTGATCACCATATTTTCTGTGTCCCATTTCCTCCTGTGCAAAGTTGGGATGACAGTACCTATCTCATAGGTTGGTGGTGAAGATTAAATGACTTGTGTGCAAAATTATTACACCTGTGCTTGGGTGCCTGCACCATGTGGGAGACCCAGTGGAAGATCCTGGCTCCTGGCTTCAGACTGGCCCAGCTCCAGCCCTTGTGGCCACTTGGGGAGTGAATCGGTGGATGGGGGACGTTTCTCTCTGTCTCTCTCTTTCACTCTCTCTGTAACTTGGTCTCTCAAATAAATAAATAAAATCTTTCTTTAAAATTTATTTATTTGTTTATTGACAGGCAGAGTTGGACGGTGGGAGAGAGAGACAGAGAGAAGGGTCTTTCTTCCAATGGTTCACCCACCAAATGGCCGCTACACCCGGCGCACTGTGCTGATCTGAAGCCAGGAGCCAGGTGCTTTTCCTGGTCTCCCATGCTGGGGCCTGGGGGCCTGGACCATCCTGCACTGCCTTCCCCGGGCCACAGCGGAGAGCTGGACTGGAAGAGGAGCAACTGGGACAGAACCGGCGCCCCAACTTGGACTAGAACCCAGGGTACTGGCGCCGCAGGTGGAGGATTAGCCAAGTGAGCCGCGATGCCAGCCAAATAAATATATCTTAATGTATGCTAAACTGATCTTCCGTATATAAAGAGAATTGAAAATGAATCTTGATGTGAATGGAAGGGGAGAGGGAGTGGGAAAGGGGAGGGTTGCGGGTGGGAGAGACGTTATGGGGGGGAAGCCATTGTAATCCATAAGCTGTACTTTGGAAATTTATATTCATTAAATAAAAGTTTTAAAAAAATTATTACACCTGTTGTCTGACACATGGCGTGTGCTCACTAGAGGATAGTGACATACACGGGCACACACACACATGCATGATCTCAGAGAGTGTATCTGGATATGTTCTATGTAAATTATCTGACTCTCGGTATGTATTCATATTGAATAATAACAATATTATTATAATATAGTATAATGACACAATAGTAATATGGCTAACATGCACTGAGCGTGAATTCTAGGCATTAGTTTTAGCACTTTACAAAGATTTTCTTGCTCACCTTTGGAAAACATAAGCACATGACATAAAAAAACAGCATACTATCACATACTGTACTTGGCTATTCCCATCTTACAGATTATAAAACTGAGGTCTAGGGGCCAGTGCAGTGGTGAAGCAGGTAAAGTCACCACTTGCAGTGCTGGCATCCCATAAGGGCGCCGATTTGAGTCCTGGCTGCTCCATTTCTGATCCAGCTCCCTGCTATAGCCTGGGAAAGCAGTAGAAGACGGCCCAAGTCCTTGGGCCCCTGCACCTGTGTGGGAGACCTGGAAGAAGCGCCTGGCTCCTGGCTTTAGATCAGTGCAGCTCCAGCCGTTGCAGTCATCTGGGGAGTGAACCAGTGGATGGAGGACCTTTCTCTCTGTCTCTTCCTCTCTCTGTCTGTAACTCTACCTCTTGAATAAAGTAAATAAATAATCTTTAAAAAAATGAGAGAGAAAGAAAACTGAGTCTACAAAGTAAGTCATAGCTGGCTCAAGTTCACATAGCTAGCACATGACAGAACCAGGATGTATGACTTTTCACATCACTGCTTACCATCTCCCCATTGACTTAATAATGTTATTTAATATTACTTCTTTATTCCATAATGTATGTATGATGCATAGTATTTCATCAAATACTTTCACGTGTGTTGAGTCTCATTGCAAAGCTGTGAAGTAAGAACAAAACCCCCCTCCTCACTTTTATTGGAGAGAAAACAGATACACTCAGAACAGTGAGTATCTTTGGGTGGAAGTGTTTTTTTTTTTTTTTCCTGTTACAAATATCTTGGGTGCCTGTGTATACAGAGTCATTCCCCACAGATGAACTGGGTATGTACAACGTGTCAAACTCAGACTTCAGTGCTGGGGATCTAAACCACAGACTGCCCTGGAAGACAGACAGGTGTGGAGCCACAGCACACACCATGTACTCCCAAGGGGACGGGGAAGGAATGCTTGGGAGCACTGACACTGAAAGAGGGGGGCGCTGCAGCTGAGAGAGGGGCCCCTCTCCAGGGGTTCTTGGGGAAGGCCAAGGTGGCGGGGGAGGGGGCACTTTCTTGTGAGTGTGAAACCATGTTTGTGTGCCTGATGGTCTCTCCATGAACCAGAATGCATACGGGTTGACATTGCCTCACCCACGTAAGTATTAATTTATGAATACGCTGCCTGTCGGTGTGGAAAGAGTAACACTGAAGGTCAAAGACAATTTGCGCACACATGCAAGAGCCAAGTGGACCTTCTTTGTTAGGTACTTTCCCCATCCCAACTCCTCAACGCTGGAGCAGCCAGAGACACCTGCCCCTTCCCACTCCTCTCCCGCCCAGTCTAGAGCCACGGTGATCAGTCTCCCCAGGGTTTTGGATCTGTCCATCTGAGTGTGCAGTAGTCTGAGAGTCAGTTAGCTTGTACATAAGAGTGATGGGAGGAGAAAAGGTGGTGGCAGTGTCTGTGGTATCCTCCTGTGTGCACACTTCCAGTTGTGTGCGAATGCTTGGTGTTGGCTGCTTCACACCAGACTGAGAAAGCCCCCTTCTTCCTTCATCTTCACGACCTTGGGGAGTTTGTCCACTCATGAGCTTCCATTGCCATCTGCACAAGGTTGGCTTGTCTCCACGCCCATGTCCTGGGATCTACCATACAGGGTTATGTTGGGTCTGGGCAGAGGCTAGGTTGAGAAGCGTTGGTGCTGGTTTTCTGCTGTATTCTCTCTCCTCTCTCCCACTCCCTCCCGATTTGGGCCCAGGAATCTCTCAGAGGAAGAAAAAGTCTTGCAAAGGCAAGCAGCACTTGGGTCAGTCTTAAGGAACCCAAAGGATCACTCTCCCTGGTGTTATGCTATTTTAGACAAAAGTGATAAAGGACGGAAGGTGAGGATTCCTCTCTCCACCCGTGTTCCCCCAGAGAATGGGGAAGCAAGGAGTTAGGCTGCAATATTATTTTATTCCATTTAAGCTTGAACAAGTACAAAAGTCAAACTGATCACAAATAACATGCAATTGATGGAGACTCAGTATCTCTATAAAGTGGCAAGATAATGGCACCAGATTGTCCCTTCTGTTAGAAGGCATATAAATTCAGGGCCATGGGGTCGTGTAAGGCAAAGGCATCATGTGCTGGAATATGCTGGTGATTTGTGTACATTTCCATCCCGGCCCAGTGCACTAAATGCATTTGCATGTTAAGATGGGCAGGAATGAAGCAAATAATCCACACATGTCGCATGTCATATTTTAACTTCAATGAATGAGTGGGTGAAGAGAAAAACAAACATATTCAGAAACAGAATACCTGGATTCTGTTCCTAGTTCCACCAATGACTTAAAGTACTCTATGGAAAGATTGTTATCATCTATTGATAAGTAGGTCTCATAGCAGGGAATGTCTCAAAAATACTGATATGCTTAATCAGAGCTTCTCTAAGTGCCTTTTAAAATGTAAATTATCTCTAATAAACATTAGCTGTTGCCCATCTGAATAGTTTATATTCACTGTAGCATCTTAAATAGTACTTGTTTCCATGTTCTGGACACAAATATTTTCCTAAACAGTAAGGAATGGATGCTGATTCTGTAATATGCAAGGGGAATTTTTCCCCAGTTAAAATGCATTATTTATTTCTACTTAAATACTGCATCAATAATCTGGAACAGAGGAATAGCCTGATTATGGTTAAGAGATTCTATTTAGAAGCTAAGGTTTCAACCGTGGATTGCTTTCAACTGCTATATTTTATGGCACAGATTCAGTGGGAATCTGATCTGCTAAAATATTTGGGCTGTGAAAACTCCCACACTGTGACAGATGTCAAGTCCAATTAAGTGACTCATGTCCAGGTTTCTGTCCAATAGGATTTCCCATTAAATATCAATTTAGGGGGAAAAAATTCCATCCCCCTTCTTAAGCCTTTATCTCTTCCACCATCTCCAGGCTGAATCAATTGGTGCCAGGAGAGCCAGGAAGCCACACGCGCATCCCTGCCTCCTTGCTCTGGCTCTCCCACCCTCTTCCCGTCTTTCTCTGCTTCCCTGTCACTGTTACACCAGGAGCCGTTCACTTTTCACCAACCTTTCTCCAAGCCATCTTCAAGCCACTGACTATATAGATTTTGCTACAAGGTAAAGAAGGGTGGGGGGAGGCGGTGGGGGTGGTAACGGAGCCTTAAAAGACTTTGAAACTAGAAAATAGGTATCTGTTAATACAACATACAAGTAACGGAGGGAGGAGGAAGAGGCAGCCCCAGCTCCGACTTACAGTATTGTGTTCCTTGGGAACTGAGGAGATATCAGCCGAACAAAGCCTTATCTCAAAAAAAAAAAAAAAAAAAATCACTTCTGAGCAAGATTACATCTCTGCCCTGCACTTGCCAGTTTCTGCTCCCCCGTGTTAAGGGGAAGGAGAGGAGTCCTACAGGCGCGGATTCTTATCTCAACCATCGTTCTTATTGATTACTCCGCTGTTAGGAAGTGGAGGAATCAGCCCTTTGACGTGACCGTGTTTATCTCTGCATCTCTTTTGTTATTTATAGAGACCTAGAAGAGGAAAAAAGGAAAAAGGCGCGAGACTCTTCAGCACAGCATTTTTAAAAATCAACAACGAATCTTTCGAGATGTTTGAGAACGATTAAGCGGAAAAAGGCGTTTTTCATCTCGGAACTAAGTGAACAATCATTCTTGTCGTTCGCATCCCGACACAGAACCGTCCCTCGCTGTGGGTACCGGCGAGATGACAGCTGCTTCCGCATTGGTGAATGTAATAAATATTTGCTGCTTGTAATATTTTTCCTGGAATTCCCCCCTCGCTCTTCCTTGGAATTTTAACTCTCAAAGATTGGAGAAAAGATTATCGAAAAGGCGTTTGCAAGGTAAGTACCCCTTCCAATCGTTCTTTCTGGCTTGAAACTAAGTCGGAGTCTTCCTACCGCATTGATGGATGCATTTCGGTCCATAGTTGAAGAAATGATTGGCGTGAGCGGGGTACTATTCAGGAATATTTTAAAAACGGATCCTGAGGAGAACGTAACACGCTTGCAGGGCAGCCAGGAACTTTTCGCCCGAACTACAACCATGTGGTGTCTCGTTGTGATTTTCCATCCCTCGCCCGTTTATTTCTGTCCCCGCAAGTTGTTCTCCTCACAGAGCTACCCGGGAAAAGCCCGCGGGCAGTCACACGCAGCTGGCTTGGGCGTTCCTTTTTATTTGGCCTTAGAGGACCTGTTTTCCCCGCACTCAGCTGAAAGCCGTTTGGGAGCCCAATCCACTCAGAGCAAGTGCGGCGCTGGGGACTGATCACGCAGTCCCTGGCTTTTGTTTCTCTTCGAGCAAACCCCTCCAACACCTCGCCGACGCTGGCGACTGCGCGCCCAGCGCCGCCCGGGCTCCAGGTCCGCGGCCGGGGCCTCCCCGCGGCCCGGGAGGCTGCCTCTCCCCTCCCGCAGGCCCCGTGGCCCCGCAGCCCGCGTGTCCGAGCAGCTCGTCCCCCCGGAGCCCGGGAGAAGGCGGGCCGGCGGCTTTTCTGGAGGGCGTCGTCAGAGGACGGCGGAGGCACACACACCGGGCCTCGGCCTGGCCTTCCCGGGACTGCCCGACCCCGGCCGCCGAGCCACTGCCGGCGCCCGGCTCCTCCCGGCCGCCGCCCTCCCCTGCAGCGACCCGGCCGCCGGCCTTTTCCCGCGAGGCGGTCGCCAGACTGCCTGGCATTGTCTTAGCCCACGCCGCCGCGTCCCCAGGTCCCCTAAGCGTGCGGCCGTCTGTGTGACAGATGGTGCTCCGGGAGTCTGCGAGGGCACCGTAGTCAATTTTCCTTTGAAAGGCACCTCCGTGTGTGTGTGTGTGTGTGTGTGTGTGTGTAGTCGCTTCTTTATGATTGCGGAGCGGGTCGCGGGCTCCCCGCCCGCTCGCAGCCCCTGAGGCTCCGAGGCTCCTTCGCCCGAGGCCTCCCGGGGCGCGAAACGCTCCCCGCCCGCTAGAACACGCAGCCGTGTTCGTCGTGGGGAATCGCCCGTTTGTTTGGGGAAAGGACGGAGTGAGGGAGGGAGGCAGAAGAGCGCAGGAGGCACAAAAACCCAGCCGCGGCCCTCACGCCGTCCGCCAGACCCAGGGCCACCGGCCGGCCTTGGCCTCCTGCAGGTGCAGGGCGTCGGGTCCAGGATGCCGCTGGAGCCGCGCCACTGGCCCCGAGCCGCGGGGAGGGGGTGCAGACGGCGCCGGGCCGCGCGCGGCCGGGAGCCCGGCGTGGTGGGCCCTTGCCCGCCACCCGCCATCGGCGAAAAAGACCCCCTCGAGTCCCTTCACTGATTGATTCTCTGACTCCCCTCCAACCTCCAGCCTCCAAAATGATGCTGAGTCCGGACCAAGCCGCCGACTCGGACCACCCCAGCTCGGCGCACTCGGACCCGGAGTCGCTGGGCGGCGCGGACGCCAAGGTGCTGGGCAGCGTGTCGGACCTGGAGCCCGTGGAGGAGGCCGAGGGCGACGGCAAGGGCGGCAGCCGCGCTGCGCTCTACCCGCACCCGCAGCAGCTGAGCCGCGAGGAGAAGCGCCGCCGCCGGCGCGCCACGGCCAAGTACCGCTCGGCGCACGCCACGCGCGAGCGCATCCGCGTGGAGGCCTTCAACCTGGCCTTCGCCGAGCTGCGCAAGCTGCTGCCCACGCTGCCGCCGGACAAGAAGCTCTCCAAGATCGAGATCCTGCGCCTGGCCATCTGCTACATCTCCTATCTCAACCACGTCCTGGACGTGTAGGGCAGGGGGCCGCCTGTCCGCGCGCCCCCGAAGCGCAGTCGACCTGGGGTGGCCGTCGCGGGCGTGGCGGAGGCGGAGGCGGTGGCGGTGGCGGTGGCGGTGGCGGTGGCGGCGGCGGCGGCGGCGGCGCAACGGGGCGGCGGGCGCCAGAGACTTGGCCGGAGGAAGAAGGTGGCCACCTGTTCTCTCTGATCAGCCCGGCCGCGAGGAAAGGCTTTGGGCACCGGGAGGTGGGGCTGGCCGCGGAGCCCTGGGCGGGCGGGACCTCCCGGGCGGGGAGAAGCTAGAGCAGGTCCCCTCGGAGCGTCGGGTTTAAAGCTCGCTGGAAGTCTCGTTGCTTTAACCTGGTGCATGGAGGCCGTGCGTTCAGAGCCTCCCACAGATCTTAAGAACGAGGGCAGAAGCTCCGAGGAAAGGCTGTCTGGAATTTCTCTGATTGACAAATCACCCAACCCTGGGAAGGAGGAAATCTCCCGAACAGAGATTCGGGCACAGAAGGGTGGGGCAGGACACTGTCCGCTCCTTCGTGAGAAGATCGATTATGTTATAATCCAAATAAAACAAACCTTGACTATTTGATGAGGTTAAAAAGACGGGCTGGAAACAGACTCACTGTGGGAGGCTTTGAACTTGGGGAGACTTGAGCCCCAAGATGTAACACTACTGTAGACAGGAAAATCCATATTTAAATGGAATATTTAATATCGGATTGCTTTTTCAGGCGAAGTGCCCCTTTATATATCCAAAAACATCTATTTGTGACCTTAAATATGTGGACCCATAGGTGCAGTTAGAAAAAGACGACCTATTTTTATTTATGTTAGAAGAGTAGAGTATTTTTTTCAAGACGTTTATTTTTCAGAGTGGTGATAATTTTACTTTGGATACGCTGTGCCAAGTTATTTATAGTCGAGTGTTTACACTTTTTCCTGTGGAATAATTATGTCTAACTTTTTACGTGTTTGTTAAGATTATACTGTGGTCTTTCTTTTGGCTCTAATTATATTGCACTTGTACAACAACTTTCCCACTTTTCCCTGTTTCTAAACATATTTTATATATTAAGATGTTTGTTCTTGAAAGTTCCTTTTTGTTGTGAGATCAGCAACACTAGCACTCCACTATTACAGTTTTCTAAAAAAGTAAGTGTTGTTATTCTTATCTGTAGTTATGTCTGAAAAGTACTTTACCAACCGTTTATATGGAGAGTAGCTTCTTTGTATGTGTGTGTGTGATGTTTGTGTGTGGGATGATTTTAGGAAATTAAGTTATTTTCCTAAAAAAAAATCAGAAATATTTCCTCTGTGACAACCAAAAAGAAAAGTCTTTAACTTGATAATGTTTCATGTTCTCAGCTGTGAAACTCTTAAAGCAAGGAGTGTATTTTAGAGACGAGAAAAAAAAACACATCTGCTATCCAAAGATTTTAGTCTTTTTCAGGGTTTTTTTGTGTCTCTGTTGCTTTATATAATGCAATATTTTGTAGTGAAAATAGATATAATCTGGTTTCTATCTGACAAGTTTTTCATATCTCATGAATGGTGCGCTGTTTTGCATATAAATAAAGGTATCAAATGAAGTCCTTGCCTTTATTTTAAACATTCTGTCTAAAAATGATGAATATGCTGGCCAAGTGTGAAATATATTTATGGACTCCATTCCTTACAGAGGAACTAGTAAAACAAAACAAAAAATCATAACAAACATATTTACCCACTGAGATACTTGATGCTCTCCCTAAATTGAACATGGATCAGTCTGCAAACAGCTGCCTCACATAAGAGGGGGACACAGATCATGCTACTCTCCACGAGAAAAAGGAGCTCAGTGTTTGTATATAAAAATACTACTTGAATCATAGATTCCTTTGCTTTAAAAGGAAACTTAGTAACACTCTAATTCAACCTCTTCAAAACAGGGGCCCAAGACATGACCTAAAGGCAATGAGAAGATCCCAAATATGACAGCTGTCAGTCCTGAGAGCCTTTCTTGAGACCAAGTTGTATGCTACTGTTAGAACACTCAGGCAGCTAATCAGCACACGGACTCAGGACAGAGCAAGCAAGAAAAGGGGGCGGGGGGAGCCCAATTGAGATTGGAGGACTGACACCTACAAAAACTTATAGCTAATATAAAAATGTGAACTGTTCTTTCTACAAGCAGAAGATGTAAATAACTTTAACACTATATGTGCACAGACATATACTGGATGTTAAAAACTCTGAGTCTATTTCAGACCAAATCTCTGGTTTTGGAGGAAAGGCAATGATGGGGGTGCTTGGTTTTATGTATATAAAATGTCTGTAGGATTGCAAGCATTTTTCATTGTTCACTCAAGTGTCTCGTGGTCAGGTTCACAGAGGCTTAGTAAATAGAGCTCAATTCCCTTTACCTGGAGGTGTTGGGGAGGAAAATATCTGTTAAGACATGAGAAAGAATGGCTCTTTCCTTGGCCTCGTGTCTGGACAATGTCTTGGCCACTGTGGCATGCTTGCTCTCCAACCTGCAAAGAGACCTGCCGTCCATGACACTGCGTCTGGAGGGTTCCTCACCGCTAGGAAGTGCAGAGGGATGACTGCTCCTTGCTCTCCCAGCACTTCTCTACTGTGTGACAGAAAATTTGGCCTTGCTCTTACATAACGGAAATGAAGTCAATTTCTAACCTCTTGAACACGGAGGGCCTCCTGTTCCTGGTTAATGAGCCCAGCTTTCCACTGACCAGCACAGTCCTGCCACTGACACCTCAGAGGGAACTGTTAAGTCACCTCTCTAGACAAAAGGTGTTTGCCTTGGAGTGGCACAGCAGGCAGCACCCGCTCCCAGCTCCCTGGCTCCCATGATTCCCCCTGTCATCCCAAAGGCAATGCAGCCGAGCACCCTCCAAAGAGACAAGAAGCACAGGGGTACTGTGCTGGACCTGAGTGTAACTGGCTTAGCCCTTGAAGGTAGCCTGGACTTGGCAATGCTTCAGCCATGGTGTTTATAGTCAACAGTTAGTGACGGAGGACCGCCCCTGTGCTAGGTGCTGAAGATGGAGCAACCCGTGCAAGGGAGTCTACTGGAGAGGAGCACTATGCTGACAACAAAATAATAAACAATATTTGCTTTTGGATCATGCCCAATCTATGAAGAAGAAGAAAGTAGGGTAAGGATCTAGGGAATGGCAGCTGGAGCTGCTTGCTGGTTAGAGCAGGCATCCTGGAGGGGGACCTCAGGTAGAGACTTCATCCACAGTTGCTGCCAGTGCACTGCCCTTTCTTCTCACTCCCTGCTAACATGTCATGTCCCGAGTGTTCATGCCACCAACACACCCCATGCAGACTGCTCACCTTTCCCCAGCTGCTGCAGCATTGTCCTTCCCTCCCAGGTTGGTCACTCCCTAGACAGACTCAGGATCACGCTTCCGCTTGTCACTCCTCATGCCTTCTGCTCGTGGGGCCCCAGCTGCCAACCACTTGCCAGGGCCCGGCTGCTCCCCAGCAAGCTTCGCCCCACTTGGCTCTGCAGTTGAGGCCAGTACGTCCTGGCCCAGATAAACTTTCCCTCACTTCCGGAAAGCAAGAGGCAAAAGCCTTGGGCAAAGGAACCTGCTCTCCAGGACAGAGGGCAAGGGTAGCGGTACGGCTGCAGGAGGTGGGTCGGGGTAGGAAAGGAGGGGCCCACGGAGGAGGCAGTGAGTTGCCTTGGAGAGAAATGAGACTAGGTGGGTGTGGCAGGCTCCAGCAGGGAGCCCCTGCTTCTCCAGGGAACCATGTTTGAGAGACTTCCTCCAGTCATCCTGCGCCATGAACGCATGCCACTGGATGGCTTCTTTGCATTAACTGGACAGAGCCCATCTCTGTGATGCTTGATTTACCCAGTTGCTGTCATTGCTCTCTGCCTCTCGGGGGCAGTCTTCTTGCCACTGAAGCTTGGGGTCCAGGGGGTTAAGTGGCAAGGGGCACTTGCAGCCAAACCTTTTTCCAGGCTTTGATGGGCTCTGCTGCTTCTTACTAGTAGTGGTAGATACCTGAAGAGCTAACGTGTTGAGCGAGTACCCATGCCTACAGAGTTAAGTGCTGTACATGTGTTATCTCGTGTAATCCTTCCAACAGCTCAGTGAGGTAGGTACTTTTCTCATCTCCGTTAAACAGAGGAGGAAAATGAAGCTTAAATAAATAACAGGCTGGCGCTGTTGTACAGTGGGTTAAGTTGCAACCTGTGATGTGTGGTCCCTCATCGAAGCCCTGGTTCAAGTCCTAGCTGCACCACTTCCGATCTAGCTCTCCAAGAGGATGGCTCATGTACTTTTGGCCCCTGCCACCCACATAGGAGTTCCTGGCTCCTGGTTTCACCCTGGACTAGCCCCAGCTGTGGCTGCCGTTTAGGGGAATGAACCAGCAGATGGAAGATCTGTGTTTCTCCTTCTCTGTCACTCTGCCTTTACAAATAAATAAACAAAAAGAAACTTTGCCATGATCATAAAGCCATATTTGCCAGTTCATCAAAGCACCTGTCCCCATTCTTCACACTATACAGCTGACCTGTGTGCAGCATGGCTTTGCCATGCACAGAGCTGATGCTTGGCCTCTGCACTACCTGTTTCCCTCCAAAAGCTTAGGGGATACCTGCAGGAGCAGCATGCACAAGGCTGCTCAACCAAAGGGTATGCAGAGGTCAAAACTGAGCCCACTTGAACCGGCGTTGTGGTACAGTGGGTAAAGCCACTGTCTGCCACCCACATAGGTGCTGGTTCAAATCCCGGCTGCTCCATTTCTGATCCAGCTCTCTGCTGTGGCCTGGGAAAGCAGTAGAAGATGGCCCAAGTCTTTAGGCCCCTGCACCAGCGTGGGAGACCCGGAAGAAGCTCCTGCCTCCTGGCTTTGGGTCAGCAAAGCTCCAGCCATTGCAGCCACTTGGGGAGTGAACCAGTGGATGGAAGATCTCTCTCCCCGCCACTGCCTCTCTGTAATTCTGCTTTTCAAATAAATAAATAAAGCTTAAAAAAAATTGGGATCCAGCACTGTGGCATAGCAGATAAAACTGCCGCCTGCAGTGTTGGCATTCCATATGGGGTTACACTATCTGGAGTTTGCTCCTATTTTATTTCAAAAC